GGGGGGTTAATTTTTTACCAGGTTTTTTGTTTTTCTTGTTTGTAGGTTTTAAAAAAAAAAAAAAAAAAAAAAAAAACTCATCAAAGTTGCATAGGGCAGCTTTAATGCCCCAAAAATTAAAAAAAAAAAGTTCTACCTCATTAGTAACAGAAAATATCCATATTAGAGATCTGAACATTGTAGATCTGAACAAATACACATAAAGATGAATTTCTCTTGGATGTTATGTGGCCCTTATTTACATCACGATGGCCTAAAAGCTCAAATCTGAAACCAAAACCATGGCAGCTCTCCTGAAACAACCTACATAGCAGCTCCCATCTTCTCTTCCAGTTCTGATCTCGTTCCAAATATGGCTTGGGGAGGGCAGCATTCATCATTTGCCAGTGGCACGTCCTAATGAAGTCGTCGTTTGTCTGCCTAATGGCACCTGGGCTCCATCTGTCATTTGCGTGCCAGTGCAGAAAGAGAGACACGGCGCTCACCTTGCCAGCTCCTGTTTGCCGACACGGAGGGGATGGGGTTCGACCTTACCCCGTGTGTGTGTGTAAGTGTGTGTGCCCGTTTCCCCATCGCTGTCACAACAGCGGTGTAAGACACGCCCCCTAATCTGAACTCATCTGGAAGAGGGTTTACGGCCGAGCGAAAGCGTGCCGCTGCCCCCACGCCGCCCCGTTGTGGCTCGGACGTGGATTGTGACATATGTCTGTGTTGTCAGGAGGATGCGTGTGCGTATGCGTGTGTGTGTGCGTGTGTGTGTGTGTGGCTCGACAGCTGGAGCTGGGCTCAGCGCCCTCTCTTATGGGAGCACTTCATGGCTCCTGCGTCGACCACATAGCCATGGCCTGGAGGCTGGTTTGACAACAGTTAACCTTGGATTTATCTGGCTCACTCCTTGGTTCACAAACACAGAAACACACACGCACACACACACCCACGGATACAGCAAGACTAAAACGACACATTTTGCAGCACTTCTAAAGATGTAGTAAAAAGAATTTTGAAAAAGGGGGTTTACTCTAACAGTGGAAGCATCATGAATTATGCAGCATATGCACAGATAAAAAACATTTTTCCCACGCATCAAAGTTCCTGGGAAAACCCACTATTATGTCTTTACTTTAATTCAATGGAATTCTGGGTAATTTAGTGTAAAACTGAGCAAAAATTAAAACAATATGTGGTTTTAATTAGAGATGCACTGATCTGATATAAATACATGTAAATCAGTCCCAATATTGAAAAAAATCTAGATCGTTTATCATTGACAATGTGCCTAATCGCTTATGGCAGATCTATTCAGTCTAATTCTATGCTTTGTGCTCAGTGACGTCATGCTTTAGTATTTATTTCACATTATATTTACAATTACTTATTGCACTTTCTGAAACATTTGCTGTTTATGTTTTACATGTTTGTTGGAGGTAGTCAACCTCTTGTTTTGGTCAGTTTACGTTTCATTATGTATTTTCCATTGGTTATTTTATTCCTAATTGAACTGATTGAACAAATTAAAGTTGATTTTACACGTTTGACCAAGCTTGTGAAGTTACTAGTGTATTAAAGAGTGCTGTGCTGGTGCACATTTATCAAATAAATGTTTAGTTCAGTACATTTATGTCTGTGTTTGGAGAAAAAAAAACCCTGTTTTACTGTACTGGATTGGTATCGGCCGATATTAAACATCAAATATCTGTTTTGGTATCGGAAGTGAGAAAAAAGTGGATCGGAGCGTCTTTTTTTTCTTCGCAAAATGGCTGCACATCTGCAGTCGAACACAGATCTAAATGATCTAAATTTAGATCTGCACAGATCTAAAAAGCACAGTTTCAGTTTTGGCCGTGAATTAAGGGTCATCTTCATCTTTTTGGAGAAGATTTATAAGATTTTGTTTTTTCAAACTACTTCTTTTCATTCAAAACCCTTGTTTGTATCGACATGTTCATTTTAAACTGTAAGTGAATTAATAATAAACAAAAATAAAAAAAGTAAAACAAAAATACCCAGAAAAGTAAGAAAACATCTGACTCAACTAACTAAGCAGTTAGTTGAGTCGTGCTTTGGGTTTATCGACGAGACAGACCTCGTTGTAAGATATTACTCGACAGATGGCTTAAGTTTTCTGTTGTATTAAATAACACCACCAATTACACTTCAATAAATTAGAATCCAGCCTTTTTTTGTCTTTTAATAATGACGATTTTCCACTTACAGATACAGAAAACATGACATTTCAAATTAAATCAATAATTTATTTTAAATTTTAAAGACAGAAAAATAGGCTTAATGTTTAAAGGCTGGTATTTTCAAAAAGTACTTTTAATATAAAAAAAACAGGCCTCATCTAAATACAGTGCCTCAATGCAGGGCACCCAACAAATGATGTTTGACCTTGATTGCACTGGCTTTTATTTAGGGGCATTAGAGTACGGTGGGCTGCACACGGACACACTATTTTTTTTATTCTGTGTCACACTTTTGTGCTGCCATTTAAAAAAACCCCCAACAAAAACACTTTTGGGTTTACGATGATGTGGCAAAACCTTGAAACGTTCAAAGGAATATTTACAAAGACAAAAGAAAAGAAGAAGAAGAAGAACGCCAGCCTTGCTGTGAAGGCATTGAACAAACTAAAGTTGATCACATAAAAAAACACTCCTTAGATTTACTCTTCAAGTTATCCCTGTTGAGTTGCCAGGAATATTTGCTTGGCCGGTGGACAGTCCATTACGTTACTTTATGATGCTACATATGTTTAGCCATGCCTGCAAATTAAAGCACCTCCAAGTAGGCTCATCTCTCAGCACACTCAATTAAAATAACATCGCCTCGCGCACAGACGCTGTCCCTGAGCCAACTTTGTTTTTTCCCCCCCTCTCTCTCTCTGCACCAAAAAAAGGAGTGAGATAAAGACAAATGGATTAAAGTGAAAATGTGAGCATTTGTCAGGGATGGAGTTGAATTATTGTTCCATTATTTTCCAGGGGTAGTTGATTAGTGTCAAGAGAGCGCGGATGTGCGATGGCACCCGGGTATTTTTAATATATATTTATCCTCCACGCGCTCATAAATTCCTGGAAGCATTGCATATTTATGAACTCATGTATGTGGTTGAGTGCCGGCGATGAACCGCCACCACGATCCGCTGAGAAGCCGATGCGCCGGCGTGCGATGGAAACGAGCGAAATGTGAGTTTTTTTTACATTTGGAATCTGCTATGAAAAAAAAAAAAAAAAATGATTGTGGCTGTTATTTAAATGTGTTAATTAATGGGTTTTATGGAGCATTCCAGTCGTGCCTGGATCCTCTGCGCTTGCTTGATTAGTTCAGTAAATCTGAACAGGGTGTAATTAGCAGTAAAATTTCAGCAGATGAAGCCGTCGTCATAGCCGGCGTCACCGGTGCGCTCCGACGCGGCGCCGGGGTTTGAGGATTGCTCACAAGGATTTAAAGGGAAAGAAAAACAAGAAGCCTAAATCTCCACCTCGCTGTCTCACTTACCCTCCCTCTCTTTCCCTCTCTCTCTCTTTCTCTTTCTCTCTCTGTCTTGTCTTTTCTTTCCTTCCCCCCCCCCCCAACCTGCGCCTTATTGAGGCTGACAATGGACAAGAGCAGCATGGCAAAAAGTAATTATGAGGAAAAACTGCATAGCTGCCCACGCAATCATCTGTGTCAGAGGCCACACAATGAAGCGTGCCACGTGCCTAAATGAGCCTGACGAGCCCAGAGAATATTAATGTTCTGTCTGTTGATTTTTATCTCCTAGCACACGTCGTCAAGCCTCTCCTCATCAAGGCCAACAACATGTAAAATGAGGAACGCTTGCCCAGATTGGCCATCAGCCTCTTAGAGGTGAACTGTGATACAGAGGGAGGCCGGGTTGCCAGATCTGAACGACAGTTTGCAGCCCAAAAATATACAAAAAACAACATAAACCACACAACTTCAGCGTAAATCTCGACCTCTAATGAAACTCATGTTCCTGATGTAGTCTAATGTAAATACTATTGATTAGGAAGTTTAATCAGATTAATCACACTCCAGGTCTGTGATTAATCACGATTAAACATTTTGCCGAACTTTCTAAAACTTGAAATATAAATATGCAAGCAGTTGCGTTTCTTGTAGGAATTGTCCCCTCCTTACAGCCAACTTAAAAATCCAAGCCATTATCTGATTTTTGTTTTTCCTGGCTTTGCAGTAGAAAACAGATAATGTAGTCTCCCAGTACTCAGAAGCAACTAAGGGACGCCTCTCCACTATACAAGCAAACAAGTAGAAGCAAACTCATTCAGGGGACAACGGAGAAAAAAAAATGTATATTGTATTTTCTACTTCTTTTGGTGCCCAAACACTTTCTGGACTGGGGCACCACTCCAGAAAGCGGGTTGCCTCAAAGCCTCTCTCCTGCAGGGGGTTCACTAGTTCACAGCAGAGTGGTCTTGTACAACAAACACGAGTGAAAAGAAGAGCGAGTTGAGTCAGACTGGTGTGCTCAACGGCAAATTTCGCTTCAGAAAACACCGTGATGGAAAAACCAAGTTAGAATGTAGCCTACTTGTTTGACACAATAAAAGGAATAGGTGCATTTTTGCATTTCAAGCATGTTGATCAATAATAATTAATCACAGCGCGATTAATCTGATTAAACTTTACTAGTGCCAAGATAACATGGCATTTAATTTAAAGCTTTGTGCTCTTCTGCCACACGACGACAACTATTTCGTAAGTATTGTCCTCTGAACGCTTCCTAAAATCCCCGCCAAATGTTGGGAAAAGCAGGCCAGATTTTAACAACCCGCCCAAAGCCTGTTTGTTTTCCAGCCAAAAGCAGCCCAATTGGGTGGAAACCCGCCCAATCTGCCAACTCTGGAGTGTACATTCAAACACGAACACGGCGCCACACACACATCCACACACGATCCGAACACACAGCTAACCCTGCAGAGGGTGGTCGGCTAGGTCTGATTGGGGTGCTGACCAAAATGAGATGGTGGACGCCCTCCTACCCTTGCGCTGAATAGCGAGGACACAGCCTGTAATAACTGCCACTTATGGGCACTCGCATGAGCACACGAGCGCGCACATAAGCTGTGCAGCACGCACCGTGGCTCGAAGCAGTCAGAAGTTGGAATTACAGGTTCTCCCCTCTGATTGGGGACCCCTCGGAGCGTGCAGGCTCTGTCAACTCTGTGCAGGTACACAAAGACTCATTACATGCTGCACAGGCCCAATCAGCACACCTCTGCATTTGGAAAAAAGGATCCTAGCAGGTGTGCCGGGGCTGCAGAGGCTAATAAGCACGTTGGAGGAAAAAGAAAAAAAAAAGAGAAAAGAATAAAAAAAGCCACTCAACTTGTTTTCATCCAAAAATAGAAACCAGGAATAAAAATCTCTTGCTTCGACTTGATAATGTTGACTTATACACGTGCATGAATGTGTTCTGTTGTTCCGCAAATCACTGATTGCCACACGGGTCTGATTGTTGAGAGCTTACCTCTGCAAGAAGGCTGTAAAAGTCCCTGTTTTGGATCACCGGGAGTATTTTTTGCAAGTTAAGAAAGCAGTGAAATCCAGTTTGAAGTGCTAGTGAAGAGCGAGTGTTCGCCTCTAGACCCAACAGCCTACCATGTTTAAACCCCTTAAAGGTTTGTGTCACCAGAACAGGACAGTCTTCTGCTGAAACTTGATCATTTTCACTGTCACACACAGGTTGTTTTTCTTCTGCAAATCAGAGATGGACAAAAAGTCCAGATTAGCTGTGACTCCACTGCAACTGTGTGCAAAACATTAGGATGTTTCCATTAAATAAAAAAAAATAAAAAAACGCAATTAAAACCACATATGAATACATTTGCTCACACAATGTCATTGAAAAATGATCCTACTTCCTGTTGTCTTCTTCAGCTTTTCCATCTGTAGTAACATCAGGTATTTGATCACCTCTCATGCGATCCAAAAAAAGAAAAAGTGTTTCCATTGCAGCTTTTGAATTACTCTAATTTCCACACAACTTTTTTTTTTAATGAAAAAAGTGTTTTTATTCAAAGTTGGTATGTTTCTTTGATTCTATTAAGCAAATTTAATAGTTAAGCTTTATAATAAAAGCTTGTAATGTAATCAATCTTCTACACAGTCTGGTTTATGTCTGTAGTAAAATGAAGTTTAAAGTTCAGGCTGAAAAAAAACCAAAAAAAAAAAAAAAAAAAAAAACTTATGAGAGCAGTACCTGAGAGACACAAAAGACCGGCACCATGCCTGGTGACTGAAAGCACTCCTGTAATTTGCCTCAGTGGTGAATTACTACTTGTGATAAAGAAATAGGACAGAGAGGACGGTGAAGAAACCCTCCTAAAATTCTGGCAGCATTCAGACAGAATCCTCCATTTTTGACCACCACTGTTACTCCAGTACACAAAAGTGCCAGTGATACTTCTTTAAAAAAAAAAAGAACAAAATAAAAACACTCTTTTTTTCATTTTGCAAACCAGTTGTGTTTTCTTTACTACTTTTTCAGCAGTAAATTGCCAATTGGGTTTAATTTTATGTTTCACAGAGTCAAGATTATTATATTTTCTGGCTCCGAAACATGAAACGTCTCAATTAAATAAACTCTGAAGCTTAAAGCAGAAGTAAAACAGAAAAACTATGTGTCTTCTAACTTATGCTGGCAAAAAGAATCAAATAACAGGAACGTTTTTCCATCGTCACAATATTTTTGGTAAATCTTCCCAGCCGCCACAACAGACTCCTTGGGAGACGATGCTCATTTGCGGGAAAAAAAAAAAAAGTAATCTCTTTCCCTGAAAAGAACACTTCTATAGGCATACCACGGTAGACTAACAACTACTGTGAACTTATAAAAGCATTGTGTTGCAAACCATTCTAAAGCAAATGTATTGAGACTAATGGAATGTTGTGTTAATGTCAGGACGATCCATTAGAATTAAACTGCGCCTATATGGAGCTGGAGCGTAACGTATTCTGCTGGCGTCATTATGCAGTGAAATAGAGATGCCAGATAATGTGTGTCTACACTTTGAATCTGTCAGATCCCCCATGTATTAAACATATCATTTCCCTCCTTATGGCTCCACTCTGACTTTCTCTCCCCCTCCCGCACCCGGCTAGAAAATCTATCTCGGCCGTCAATCTGCACGACTGGAGGTTCCACGAGGATGCGTCGTCTCAGGAATGCTGAGCACACGATCTGAGGCGCATCCGCATGTACACACGAACGAAACTGATATGGTTTCTCCAGAAAGCTAAATGATAAGAAGCTTCTGGAATAGCAGTGAGCACCAAAGAGAGATCGAGAGAGACAGAAGAAAGCCAGAATTGTTTCTTTCATCTGCCAACGCAACGCATCTCAGTGGGGGGCGGGGGAGAGGGGGGGGGTGCATTGTGTCAGGGTAACGGCATTACTCTGAAGGAGCATAGTAAAATGTAAATTAATAGTAAATCAGTAGCTTGACAGGCTTCATTGAGTTGAGCTCAGCAAATCTAAAATATCTAGTGTGTCATGTGAGCAATCAAATCAGCTGGAAAGAATTTATGAAGAAATGGGGATTTTATTCACAACCGTCGGCCCGTTCAACCGTGTTTGGACACTTCGTTGTGAAGGCTAATGAGTCATGTTGATGTAAAGCAGGGCGGCAAGTTAAATACGGCACATCATCGCATGTTTACAGTGCAAATGTCATCAACTCCGTTTGGGTTGTCAGTACAGGACAACAGCTCTACTATTCAAATGGGATCAGTTTTAGGGACCACAAGTGTAAAGTAAAAATCCCAAATGACCCATTATGTTTTGCTGAACTTCAAGGTCATGTGATAGTACAAATTCAATGAGAACAGGCATCTTGAAACAGGTGACTTGAAACAAAATGGGCGAGATCTGAAACATAATTAAGGCGGTTTTTGTTTTTCCGATCAAATTTTTGTTCTCGTGGCAAGCTAGCTAAACCGTATCGACCCGTAACGTACGGCGTCAAAAAGAAAAGACTGAAGAGCAAAATCAGATGCAGATAGTGGCTCGCATCACTGTGCTGTAAGAATCATTTTCTCCTTGTTATAGCTGGCAGTAACTGTGCACCGAGATGTCACCGTAGCCTGAAAAGTAGTTTCAAAGTTGACTTGCGTCGTTCCTCGAGTCAAAGCAGAATGGCATGTTAACATCAAATTTACGGAGTTGAGTTGTTTGTAAATTAAAGTCTTTGGTTATTCTTGTAAATGCGCCACATAAAAAGCAGACATTGGGGGATAGTTTATTTCTTACGTGGTATCCCCAGATATTGGAAAAAAGGAGAAATTTTGGATTAAAACTGAAATTCAAAGATGTAGTTTCAGACATCCTTTATCCAACTTTTCTCGGTAGATACTAACCAAATTTTCTTCTTTTGTACAGTGTTTACACATGAGAGAGATTAATTTTCTCCCATTTATTTCCTCCATCCATAAAGTCTTTATCAGTCCATCCCAGCAGTGTCCATCCAGCCAATCATTTTTTGGAGACCGATACAAAGAAATTTATGAGTATGGGCTCTAAGTTAAAACTGAAAGGATTTATGGAGCCCACTGAAAATACACATCTAAAATACAAAATGTAAAAAGATGTTCTAAGCAACATTTTCCAATCTGTCTCCAACGTAAACCTGAGCTGGCGGTTTATTTCATATCTAAAAGTGTAGATGCATGGTGAATATTTCATACAGAATGTGGAGAAACTGCTTCAGCACACTGAATAACTACACTACATTGTCTGCTATTATATAAAGTGCTCTTGTTCACACCCCACAGCCCACTTTTATGTGACATATCAGCTGCTATCGCCGAGCAATCTTCTATACTGCTTTATCTACTGTATCCTCTGGCTTTTTCCACAGCCAGTAAACCCTTTGATTTCTTTCTGCAGCATCCAAGTTCAACCGTTGTGTTGTCATTCTGGCGAAAAGCTTTGTGTTGCTTTAAGATGAGCAAACGAGGTTGGTTTTTGCAATTTCTTTTGCAAATGAAAAAGCTTAATTAGCCAAAAAAAAAAAAAAAAAAAAAAAGTGACATTTGAGCTAATGACATCTCAACATTTGCACCTGGAGCAGAAATCTCATGAAATCCCCACTTGGCCGAGACATGAACTTTTTACACCCGATTAGCGCCACCGGATTCATTTATACGGCCATGAAATCCAGAGAAAGAAAAAAAATTCCTTCTTAGCAAAGCTGCGGCGTCGGTATTTATTTCTGGGTAAAGAGGTCAAGAGTACTCACTTGTGCAAAAGTATTCTCTAGCAATACGAGAAAATT